GAGTGAGGACGCGGGCGCTGTCTCTTCAAAACGAGGACCCGACACCACAGGATGGTTGGGAAAAAAGGAAATGTGGCAGCCGCCCTGGTTCAGTTTCCTCAAAAACGGAATGTAACAGAAGTAGCCGCATGGCTCGGTAAGGGAGCTGCCATGAGGGCCTACGCGCGCTCGGCCTAGCGCGCTCGCGCTTGCATCCAACACTTATGATTACGAAGGCTTTACGGCCGGTGCCGACAACCCTGAAGGACGACGACGAATTCGACGACGCGACGACAACGACGACGATGGAGACGGAGACGACCACGACCCCGACCACGACCACGAGAAGGCGAGGTCTCGAAAAACAGAGGAACACATAGATGAACATGAATTATTGAATCGCTTCGCTCATTCCGCCGGCCCGTGATATGGCATCGCTGGTTTTTGTCTGTGTGTTCGTTGCCCATGTTGCGCTCTTGGGGGCGGGTGTCGTTCGGACGCGTTGCGTGGGGAGTTTTGATGGTGAAGCAGTTCCCTGGGGGTCGTCTCTCGATGGGGCGAAATAGAGTCGTCGTCAAGATGCTTCTTTGGGGGGCCTCTTGGGGTCTGTTGAGAGGCCGTTCGGGGGCGCCTGGGAGACATGTTTGAAGCCTTCTGGGGCTTCTTTTGGGCCTCCTGGGAGTCTCCTGGGGCCTCTTGGCGACATCTTGGGGCCTCTTGGAGGCCTCTTGGGGCCTCTTTGGGACCTCCTGGGCGCCTTCTGGGACGGAGGGCTCCATTTTTGAGTTCTCGGTATCCCTCCTGAGTCCCTCTTGGGCCCGTCTTGGGGCCTCTTGGTCCGTCTTGGGCGGCACTTGGGCCGTCTTGAGGGCTCTCTTGGGTCGTTTCGGCGCCGTCTTGGGAGCTTCGTGGGCCGTCTTGGAGCGGTCTTGGGGGCCTCTTGGGCCGTCTTGGAGCGTCCGGAAGCCGAAAAAGCCAGAACACAAAAAACATCGAAAAAACCAATGAAAATCAACGATTTTGGCCTCTTGGGGCTCTCTTCGGAGGCCTCTTGGAAGGCTCTTGGGGCGTCTTGGAGGCCTCTTGGGCTGTCTTGGGGGCCTTTTGGGCCGTCTTGGGGTCATCTTCGGCGTCTTCGAGCGCTCTTTGGGCGTCTCGGGGGCCTCTTGGGCAGTCTTGGGGGCCTCTTGGGGCACTCTGAGCGCGCTCTGGGGAGCCTGAGAGGCCGCACCCAGAAGGAAAACCATCTCTGAGTAGACTTGGTCGGGCGGCGGTCGGGCGGCGGTCGGGCGGCGGTCGGGCGGCGACCGGGCGGCGACCGGGCGTTGGTCGGGGTACTTTTCGCCGGGGGACCCCCAGGGGCCGCCCCGCGCGCGCGAACTAATAATACTGTTAATACTGTTAACCAGTTACCGGAGATCTTAGCACGCCCTGGCCCGTTGGGCCGGCGAATTTAAAGCCCTACCTATGAGAGTTCACGAAAAAGGAAAACACATGCAGTGAAATAATGCGAGCAATCACGTTGAACAGATATATTTTTTGGAGCAAGTGGGGTGGTCTTGGAGGGTCTCTTCATCCCTTGGGCCCGCGTGACGGCGAGAGAAGGAGGAGGAGGAAGACGACGACGAAAGCGACGACGAGGAACAGGAGAAAAAGGGAGGAAGACGTCGAGGACAAGGACGAAGAGGATGATCAGGAAGAGGAGGAGGACAACGAGGACGAGGACAGAGCCTTCAAAATCGCCTAGTGAAGCCCTCCTGGGATTTTTTGGGGGGGATCCAGGCGTCTTCTTGGGGCTCTTTTGGGTGGTCTTGGAGCACGCTTGGGGCCTTCTTGGAGCCCTTGTGGTGGTCCCTCGGGAGCCCTGGAGGGCCTCTTGCGGTCATCTTGGAGACAATGGATCAGAAGGGGGGGGTCCCAAATGTTCCCCCCCCCAGGGGGGCATCACATTAGACCCTTCGGCCGTTCTTGGGCCGCTCTTTTGGGCCATCTTGGGGCTCTCTTGAGGCCTCCAAAGCGCATCGGAAGCGAAAAGGTGAGAAGTGACCACATATTGATGTTCCTCTTTGGTTTTTTGAAGGAGGTGGGCCTCTTGGGGGATTTCTGATGGGGCTCCGAGAGCACTTGGACCCGTCTTGTAGCCCTCGTCGGGCCTCTTGGATATATGTCGGAAGCTATGTTTAACCATCTTATGGTATCCTATGGCATCCTGGAGGCCATCTTGGAGCATCGGACGCCCTCTGGGAGCCATCGTGGGCGCCCTGACCGATCGCGGCCCGCCCAGACGAACCTCTGGGAGGGGAGGAGGGGACCCCTCCCCGGAGGGAAGAGAGTTTTATACAGATGCTGTTCGACCACCTTAGCCGAAAGGGTCGGATGGGATTAGTCGGGTCGGATGGGATTAGTGTCGCCTCTTGGTGGCCCTCTTGGGGCGCCTTGGGGGTTTCTGAGGCCGTCTTGAGGGTGCCTTGGGCCGTCTTGGAGCAACCTTGCATTGCTTCAGGGCCCTCCTGGAGCAAGCCGCGATACGAGAGAGCTCGAGGCGTTTGGGAGGTAAGACATCGAACAGCAACGCGTCTCCTGGGAATAGGTGCTTCTTCCTGGGGGGTGGGGGGGGGGGGCACATCCTGCCCCCCCCCCCCCCCGGGATCCCCCCCCACCCACTCCCGGCTGGGGAGGAATCAAAGAGAAGGGGTGTCCTGTCATCTCGATGGCGATGTTGCTCTATTCTCTTTGGCTGGAGCACATGAGGAAGAGGACCCAGGCAAAGGGGGCGGAGCGACGATGGCGACGACGACGACGATGACGCAAACGGAGAAGCGTCAAGGGGGGGAGCGGGGACGACGACGACGACGACCATTTTAACAGAAAAGCTTCTCTCACACGCAGGCACGATCGGCGGATGTTACAGTGTGGGTCCAATCGTCGTGCTTGGTATGTGGGTCTGAGGTCTCGTGGATGTTCGTTGGGCTTTGGTCGAGGCCTCTCGGACGCCTCCTGAGGGCAGTTTTGATGCCTTTGGCGGGCCTCTTGTGGCAGCTTTTGGGCCTCTTGGGGGTCTCTGGGAGCCTGGTGGGGGCCTCTTGAGGCCTCCCAGGTGCCTCTTGGGGCGGAAGCCTCGGATGTTCGGTTCGTGTCCCCCCCTCCTGGGGCCCATTGTGGGCCCCTCTTGAAGCCGTCTCAGAGCCCTCTTGGGCCGTCTCGGGTGCCGCTCTAGCCGTCTTGGGGCCCTCTTGCGGGCTTCTGGCGCCGTCTTGGGGCGGTCTCGGGGGCCTCTTGAGACTTCTTGGATTGTCGGAGGCTCGAAAAGTGGAGAACCTCAAAAGCATCTAAAAACCTTCGGAAACTCAATGAGATCGGCCTCTTGGGAACGCTCTTAGGGCGTCTGGAAGGTTTCTGGGTCCATCTTGGAGCCATCGTGGGCGTCTTGGACCGATCGTTCGGCGATTCGGGGCACCCTTGGACCGTCTGGGCGAGCTCTTGGGGGTCTCTTCGCCCGTCTTGGGCCCTTGGCCCCGAAAACACCATGCGACAACACTTGGGGTAGTCCTCAGATTTGTGAAGTTGGGGTCCAGGCCCCTTGAGGCATCCTCAGGGTTGAGGATTGCTTGAGGCTCCAAGGGATCGAACAAGGGACCCGAGGACACTCCAACTCGTGCCGCAAAGGCACGGTGGCGGCTAGAGTCGAACCGAGGTATAAGGTCGAGGTCGGTTCGGGGAGGATGCCAGGGTGTTCTTTCCGTTGTGGTTGTTGAATGTCTTGTGCACCCTAGGGAGGGTACCCTTGGATATCATGTGTTTTGGCTGGCGGAGGGTCTCGTGTGGGATGTTCTTCTATCTTAGGTTCGATGGTATCCAACGATTTGGTGCGGCAGTGGAGGGACGGTGCGGGCAAGCTGGAGGGACAGTGGAAGTTAGAGCCCTTGGGTACGCGGCGACGAGCGGCGGCGCCCCTCCCCGTGAAGGCCCGAGGCTTCGTCCCTGGGCATCGCTCGGACGTGTGCAACATTCTCGGCGACGAGCATGGGGGAGCATCGTAGCTCGGGGGTGGACAGAACCCCCAACAGTGACACGTCGATTAGTGAATTGTCCGTTTTCGGTTCTCGAGAGGGCGCCGTGGCCGTTATTTTCCAGCCCTGCGCCCGCCAGGTTTGGGCCCGAGGTCGTTTTCACTAAACCACGTTTTACTAAAGGGGGTTCTGTCCATCCCCGAGTAGCGCATCTCGCAAGATAAAACGTACGAAACCGAACACATGACGGGAAATGGGCGTCCGAGCGATTGCAGGGCGGCGCCCCTCCCCGTGCAAGCCCGAGGGCTAATCCGCAGCGTAGTTGCCTCGATATGCCCGTCTCGATACGCAACATGTACCATGCTCAAACCATACGTGTCGACACGTTGCGCGTTGGTTCAACGTATTGGCCTACGTGTTGGCGAACGTGTCGCGTCAATCCTACTTGTTCAGTCTTCGTGTTGAGCTCCGAATCAATACGCTACTTTAGGTTCGAGCGGCGTTGGCGCGCCAGCGTCGCCGGCGATGGCGTTCAAGGTTGAATTCTGCGACGCTGCAGCACAGAGGGACAGTGTAACGCCGCTGGGCCCGACGGAATTCAACCTTGAACGATCGGGGCCGCGATCGATTCAAGGTTGAACGATCGACGCGATGTCATAAACCTGTGCGCATGCCGACGCCTCACGAACCTGCCGTACGTGTTGCGTGTTGCGCATCGGGCAGCTGAGGTCCGCGGTGAGACCGTTGTCCTTCGGGCCTGCCCTGCACTCCCAGGATCTGCCCCCTCCGTCGCCTCCTCCTACGTCCAATATTTTGGGCTGGGCTCGATGTTCCTTGGGTGCTTCCACTGGCGTCCCTTTGGCGATCTTCGAGCAAGCATGCGCGACTGAGGCTCACAAGGGGCATCGTGCTTCACTCCGGTTGTCACTATGGTAAAACGTTGACCGCTCTCTGCGCGTCTTCCCCTGTCTCTTCCTGTGTAGTCTTCCTCCTTCTCCAGCGCGGGGAGAGGCTGGACGCTGACGCACGCCATGCACCACAGCTCCAGTGACACTGACATGGACCCCCATAACCGAAAGGCCGGCTTCTGGCACTCCCATTTCGGCCAGCTCCTCAGCACGGGGTTGGTGGGCACGCCGTGTGACTGCACGATCAGAGCGGTGGGGGGGAGAGTCAAGGAGGGAGAACCTGCGGCCTTCTCGGTGTACCTGTCAGGGACAGGGGGGTGATCAAGAAATTGCAAGAAAGGGTAAATGCTGCGGCGCCCGTGTGTGTGTGTGTGGTGTGTGTGAGTGTGTGTGTGTGTGTGTTTGTATGCGCGTCTGTGTGTGTGTGTGCACGGGGGGGGGCGTGCGTGCGTGCGTGGCTGGCGTGCGTGCGTGCGTGCGTGCGTGCGTGTGTATGTGTGTATGTGTGTGTGTGTGTTTGTGTGCGTGTGCGTGTGCGTGTGCGCGTGTGTTTGCGTGTGTGTGTGTGTGATTGCGGGTGGGTGGTGCAGGTGCTGGTGCCAGTGCCGGTGCCAGTGCCGGTGCCGGTGCCGGTGCCGGTGCCGGTGCTGGTGCTGGTGCGGGTGCGTGTGCGTGTGCGTGTGTGTGCGAATGTGAAGTTACAGGTGAAGGTGAAGGTGAAGGTGTCTCTGTGTGTGTGTTGTGTGTGTGTGTTTGTGTGTGCCTGTGTGTGTGTGTTTGCGTGTGTGCTTGTTGTGTGTTTGTGCTTGTGTGTGTTTGTGCTTTGTGACATCGAGGTATCGCCTTTCTCCGCGACGCAGAAATATTTGGGACTTCCACTTAGCTTCTCTGAACCGACTGCGACCGAGGTTGAGGCCAGGATCAGAACGGCATGGAAAAAGTTCGGTGTCTTCAAGCAAGAGCTTACTACACGATCGTACTCTCTGAAAGTCTGGCTCCGATTGTTCAACGGCACTGTTGCTCCGATGCTACTTCATGGCTCCAGTTCGTGGGCGATGACAATCCCGTTGGAGTCGCGAGTACGATCTACGCAACGACAAGTGCTCAGAATGGTTCTTGGGTCACTGCGACGCCGTAAGCCAGAAGTAGCAGAAGAGGAACAACCTTGCGACGGAACCGACACCACTGCAGACAGCGACTCCGACAGCAGCGACACTTGCACCAGCACTGGCAGCGCAACCGCAGCATCGAGCTCGTGTACCCCCGCGGACCCTCTCGAACCATGGGTCGATTGGAGTAAGCGTACGGCAAGGCAAATTGAAGGATATTGCCACGACATGGGGTGTGAAGATTGGGGCACACGGCAGCGGCGACTACAATGGAGGTTGCTTGTGGCGGCGATCAACGACGTCGTGGGGAAATGGGGCCGCAAGGCTATATTATGGGATCCAACCACAACCAGCACTCGCGCCAAAAGATTACCGCGCCGACCCATTCAAAAGGTGGCTCGACGACGTGGCAAAAATTACCCACGCAGCTTCTGGAGAGGATTGGCGAAACATTGCTCCGGATAGTGTTCTATGGTCGCAATTGGAGGAACCCTAGGTGCAGCGGCAATGGCAAATACAGGGTGAGTGAACCTGCCGGCCTGCTCCTCCTCCTCCTTTTTTTACTTCCCTTAAGTTGCATATTTGTCGGCGCAGAGGCGCCACCGCCCCGCCCCTCGTAGGGCCGTCCCGTGTGACGTGGGGGCCCAGTGTCAGTGTCTGTGTCAATGTCAGTGTCAGTGTCAGTGTTTTTTTGTTTGTTTGTGTGTGCGTGTGCGTGTTTATGTGTGTGCGTGTGTGTGTGTGCCTGTGTGTGTCTCCGTTTGTTGCCCTCGAGAGGTTTGCACACGCTCGTGCGTTGATGAATGACAACATGGACAGTCGAACAGGGACTTGCAAGAGGCGACCGTGCACAGACGGTTTCTGTGACTTGTGCATCCACGGTCCACAGCTGGAACTGCCAAAGGGGCCCCGACGTATTCTGCACAAGCGGGCCCGTGGTTGTAGCGCTGTCCAGCACGGTCGGCCAGATTCCTCGGGGGGGGGGCCTGTGGGTGCCTCGAGTTCCTCGGGTTCCTCGTCGCCTGGAGCCCACGGGCTCCTAGGATTCTGTGCTTCGCCTGGTGTCGGAGGCCTCCTCAGGGGGTCTTTGCGCCTCTTGGGGGGTTTCTTGGAAGCCTTTCTGGTTGGAAGCCATCTTGGGCGCCTCGCTGCGCCGTTTGGGAGCATTCTGGGGGCGCTTCGGGGCCGTTTTGGACGCTATCGTGGCCGTCTTAGGGGGCTTAGGGAGCCGTCTGGGGACCTTCCGCGGATTTTCTTGGGCCGCCACACGGCCATCTTGGAGGATTTTAGAACGATCTTAGGGGCCTCTGCGGCCGTCGGAAGGCCGAAAAGAAGGAAGCGCCCAAACCCCAAAGCTTGCAAACACGTATAGAACATCCATGATGTTGGCCTCTTCGAGCCTTTTTGCTGAGGGCATCCTGAGCCATCTCGGGTGCATCTTGAGCCGTCTGGGAAATATATGGCACACATCTTGGGCCATCTGGCATCCTGGGTTGGAATCTGGCGGATTTGTGTTTGTCCCAGCCCCGCCCAGAAAGCGGAGCACAGGCGGAGCAGCCCCCCTTTCCCAGGCAGATTCCCTCCGGCCCCCCCCCCAGCAGAGCTGAAGTTCATGCTGCAGGCTGTAGTTCAGGCGTTTGAAACTTACACGAGTGATCGGCGGACTGCGTGGTCTTCCTGATCACCATTGTATTTTTTGTTGTGCACCATACTACTTCGCATTGGTATGGATTACGCTGCGTTGCGCTCGCATTATTGTATACGCCTATAGCGAACCACCCCCGCCCCCTGCCTCTGAAAACACCTATGCAAAATTTGGGAAACTTTGCCCCAAAGCCTGGCCAAGCTATTGGACTAATCCCTCAGGGGGAAACATTCGGAGAGTAAGGGAGATAGGAGGAGGAGGAGGAGGAGGAGGAGGAGGAGGAGGAGGAGGAGGAGGAGAGGAGGGAAGAGAAGCGGGAGCCCTTTTTGGGCCTCTTTGGACATCTCGGGGACCTCTTTGGGTATCCCGGTCCCTCTGGGGACCTTGGAAACCATTTTGGTTATATTGGAGTACCTTTTGAGGCCATCTTGAGCGGAAAGGGCCCTCGCCTCCCATCTTTTGCGGAAGCCGTCTTGATAGCTTCTCTGGGCCGTCTTGGGGCCTCTCTGGTGGCGCTTCAGGACTGTCTTGGAGGCCATCTTGGGCGCCTTTGAGGCCTCTTGGGCCGTCTTGGAGCTCTATTGGGGCCATTTGCATTGCTTTGCAACTCATTACGTTGCATTGCAGTGTACTGTTTTGCGAACTCTTGATTAGAAGTCATAACATTGCGAGGCATTGTATTACATGATGTTCGTATTGGTTTGCGCTGCAACTACTCTGCATTCCAGCTGAATGGCGCTGTATGGTTAAGCAGAAGGACTGATAGTTGGGAGATGCCTTGTATTGCATTGCACTGCAGATCAACCCATTGCGTTGCATTGATTGACTTGCATAGCGTTGCGCAGGGCCATCACACAGCATAGCATGGCGTGTGGCTCGCGTAGGACATCGTCTGGATACAGTTAGCTCGCCCTCGGCGTGTTCCCGTTGCCTATCGAAGGTGCCTACTGCGAACCATTGCCGCCCTCTGCCTTGTGGAAGCGTCTACGCTGCCAAGCGTTGGGACAGAGTCTGGCCAAGCCATTTGACTATGTATTGCCCCAGCCGTTGTAGCTACCTTTGGGGGTGAGACTTGAGGGAGGAAGAGACAGAGATGAGGAGGAGGGGAGGGAGGAGAAGGAGACAGGGCGGAGCAAGAGGAGGACTCTTGGGGCCCTCTCCGGGGCCTCCTGCGGGCTTCCCGGGCTCCGCCTGGGGGGCCTCTGACAGGCCTCTTGGGTACACATTGGTGGCCCAGGGTGGGGTGGGGGGCTTCGTGCGGGCCTCGTTTTCTTTCCCCCACCCTCCGATAATCAATGGGTCCCCCTCCCCTTCGCCACTGAGTGTTGATAATCCACGGCCAATGCAGTGTTGATCAGGGAAGAGAGGCGGCAAGGCCGAACTTTATAATCGCGGGGGAAAGTTGCGAATCGAAGTTGTCCTCTTCTGATGTTGAGTAGCAATGATTTCTAAGACTTCCGACTGATGTCCTTGGTAATCTTATGAATGTCCTAGGGAATCTCATGGATGTCCTATGAATTGCCTATGGGATCCCATGATTTCTCATGGCTTCCCTGCTCTTCCTCCTCCTCCTCCGCCCCGAACTATTTTATCCCTGCTGTTTTGTTGTATCCCTGCCAATGAGCTTCCATGGGCTCCTTCCTACACATGCGATGTTGGAAATGATGTTAAAAAGTTAAAAAGAGTTGAGTTCCACGCAAAAAATGAGGTTCCGAATCTCAGTTTTTTGGGCGTCTGGTCCTGGGGTTCCTCGTCCTCCTCCTGTTCCTCCTCCTCCTCCTCTTCTCCTCCTGTTCTTCAATGGATTTGTTTATAAGAGTTACGGATGTTCATATCAGTCTCAATACTTCCCCAAGAATTCCGATTGATGTCCTCAGGAATTCCCGAAGGATTCGAGAGATATCCTGAGGATTCCGATCTATATCTGGAGGTTTCCTAAGGATTTCCATGGAACTCTCATGGGTTTCACAAGGAACCCGATGGATGTCCCCATGAATCCCATGGTTGTCCTGAGGAATCCGATGGATATCCTAGGGAATCAGATCTTTTAGGTTCTTATGAAAGTTCAGGGTCATCTTGATCAGCCTCATCGTCATCATCTTCATCATTATGCTGAGATTTCCGGGAAAACGTTGATTATCCCCGCTGGAGCCCGAACTTTATCATGCCAGGGGGTTATTAGCGGGAGCTCAGGGCTATTGTGCCGTCTCAGGGCGCTTCCCATCGCCCGTCGGACAACTTCAGAGGCCGTTTGGGGGGCCTGCCTGCCTGGGCCCGTCTTGGGGCGGCCTGAGATGCTATAGGGCCATCTTGGAGATCTCTTGGTCGTCCTTGGGGCCGTCCCTTGGATCCTCGGAGGGACAGGGAGCCCGTGCAGGACGGAGGTTCGGCCACGCGCAGAGAGGGGTATGGGGAGGGGGGGAGGCGTCTTAGAAGCACCCCTGCTTCAAAGAAGCCTTCCCCCCTCCCCCTTACCCCTCTCCCGCCTACCCCCCTCTAAGAAGCCTTCCCGCCTCCCGGTCGGGGCCTTACAACCCCGAGAAATGGCGAGAACGCGCAGATGGTTCGCGCCTCCTTGAGAGTCTGACCCCCTTCCTCCTCTTCGTCCTCACCCCGAGCCTCTTCATCTTATTCCTGCTCCTCCTGCTCCTCGACCTGTTCCTCCTCTGCCTCCTCCTCCCCTGCTTCTCCGTCTCTCCTCGCTCCTTCCCGCGCCACACATTTCGACCAGCGCGCGCCGGAAGTTGTACGCGAGCATTTCCGCGTCATAACGATAACCGAGGTTGGATCTACTCAGCGAACCGGTTCCACTTGCCACGGTCGCAGTACTACCGCGTGATGAACGGCTTGGGGCCAATTCCCCGTTTCCATGACCGGGCTCTTCCCGCTTCCTGCGCTTCAATTGCGAGTGCGAAGCGGCCGAACACCACTGATGGGCTCAGCTTGGTTTCGCCGTTCGGCGTTCGGAGGGGCCGCTTCAGGCCTTCGGGGCCCTGCGAATGGTCCAGCATGTTTTGGAAACCTTCGCTGTTGCAGGATACGCAGATCCAAACATCTATGGCGCGTTCGGCGCAACGTTGCGGCGCTTAAGCTCCAACGAAAGTTTAGGTCGACCGTTGACTTCACGCATGATGTCCAGAAGGGCTGTCCAGCATTGCGTAGAGGGGGATAGTGAGGAGGAGGAGAAGCAGGAGGAGGAGGAGGAAGTGGAAGGCGAAAGGGACGACGGTGCATGCATTTGTGGGAGAGCATGAGGTGTCCAGAGTTTTGTTGTTTGGATTATCTCGCCTGGCTGCTCGCGTCCTTCCATCCCTGTCGCCATCGCCCCTCTGCGGCGGCCGCCACCCCCCACACCTCGGTTTTCCTCGTCTGGGACCCGTGCTGGTCGATGGCCGTCCCCGCGCTGATCGCGTCGCTCTGGGGCGAGGCTGCGAACGGCTTGTTCGTCACCCGGGTCTGGAGAAATTCACGGTCGGCGCATCCACGGCAGCCTTGTGGTGTGGGTCTGTGTTTAAAGGCGGCCCCAGGGTTCGCGCAAATTGTGGGTCGCCCTCCTGTTGGCCCTCCAGGGACGTGACGTGCTTTTCAACAATCCAGTGTAGTCGATCGAAGGCTGGTTGTGAGTACCCCAGGGGACCGCGGGCGAAGTGGCACGATGTTGAGGTGCGCGGCGCACTTCTGGGTCGAGCTGCGCCCCGGGGACATCCTCCTGCTCTTGCTCCTCCTCATCCGCGGGCCGCGGGGTCCTGGGTGCGGCCCTGGGGGCTGCGTTCGGTTGCCCGTTGGTCTCCGTCCCCGCGGGGGTGGTGGGGCCTTGGCCACGGTTGTCCCCTCCTGGGAGAGCCGTTGCTGGGGTGCACCTGTCTGGGGGGACCCTCGGTCTCCTCGTCGCCGCTCCCGCCTTGCTGGCGAGTGCTTCGCTTCTTTCGCCGCCGCGGCGGCAGGGCGCTCGGACTGCGCCCCTTGCCCATTCCATTCCATTACTCCTCCTCCTCCGCAGCCATGTTGGCTCAAGCCGTTTTGGCTCAGGGGGCTCGGGCGGTTCTGGGCGGGGGGCCTGCCCCTTGCGTGGCTCCGCCTCCAGCGCCGGCCAGGCCCGAGACCCGCGCGGTGTCTCCCGCGGGTCGCCCGTCTTGTGCGCCCCCTTCGGCGAGGTGTGCTGCGGCAGGGCTGGGCCTAGGCGCCGTTTTGCTGGACTTCGGCTGTGCTCTGTTCTTCGTGTTGGGAGGGGGGTACAGGAAAACACGTAGGACCAAACGAAACAAATAACGAAAGAAAAACGAAAAACAACGTTGAGGTCCAGCCCTGTGCTGCGGTGCGCCGCGCCTGGGTCCTGCGGTTCACGTCGACGGAGGTCTTGCCCGCGGCCGTCCTTCCTGCAGCGTGCGGGCTGGCGGCGGCAGAGCAGGGCGTTCGCGCGGCTGGACGTCATGGGGAGCTGTTGTTCCCGCGCTCATGGGGAGGTCTTGAGTTAAACATTCTTTATTGGAAGGCGTAGACGCGATTTCTCTTCCTCCCTTCCCTCCTCCTGCGCCCACGGGCAGTGTAGCATAGCCATTATGTGGTTGGGGGCGCGTGCGAAGCTCAAAGTAGCTTTGTTTGCCGATGCGCCGTGCAGGCGCCTGGCACACCTCATCTCACAGGCTGGGCAAGTGCCTCGCGACCACCTGCGGACCCCCTCAGTCCTGCCTGGCACCACCAGGGCAGGGCGGGGCTGGTGCTGTCTCGGCGCAAGCCCGGCACAGGACCCGACCCACGACTCCGACGTCGTGGGGAGGCGGATCAGTGTCGGGCTGTGGGAGCTGGCGCTGCACCTCTTGGCGGCGCCCTGCGTGCTCCTCCCGCTGTTCCAGTGGAGGGCCTCGTGCTGGTCGTTCGGGGGGCGGCAGCCAGGTCGCTCGTGACGGTCTTTTTCGTGTCGTTGGTCTTCGCCGCAGGGCGGCGGCTTGCACGGGGCCGCACCGCGTGGCATTCGCGCTCATGCTCGCGCGCGTTCTCAAGAAGCGCGTCAGGTCCCTCCCCTACACTGTCGAGCTGGTCGGCCTCATCGCTGTGGTAGTCGCCTCTGCGTGAGTGCGATCCTCACAGTGCCGTTCAGCCAGTTCGTGGTCGTGGCAGCGCACGGCAGCGTCCTGGTGGTGCAGTATTGCTTCAAGTTTTTTGCCATGTCCGTCGTCTGGGCGGCGGCCTCAAACTAGAGACGCTCGCCGCTATGCCCGCGAGCCTACTCAAGAAGTTCGTGCTGCTCGTCAGCAAGGTGCTGGGCGTCGCTTACTGGGCTCGCCACGTTTCCAAGGTCACAGTCAAATTGTCCTCTTCGGGCTCCGAGCCTTGTTTTGACAGGTTCCTCCGATATGCCTCGCCGCTGCCGCTTTGCTAGTGTTGCGCTGCCTCTTGTGTGCAGCCTCGCTTGCCAGCCGCCATTTTGCGTATCGCGAGGATGTACCGTGGTCCGCCAGTGGGGATGGGGCGGCCTGCTCGCTGTGCTGCGTTGCGCTCCCTTGGTGGCCGAGCGCACCCGCCAGCCTGCGCGCTGCCCCCTTACAGTGAAGGGGCTCATTCTTTTGTGGGCCGCCTGTGCACCACTAGACTCCCATTGCTTAGGGCGCGCAAGCACTCCCAGCTGTTGCTGCATTGTGCCGGCACGGCACCCAGGAGTTTGACGATCCATGCTTGCATTCGTGCCAGCCTGGTGGTGCCATAACTCGCTGTCCGAGTGCGTGTGCCGCTTGCCTGCCTTGTCGTCATCTGCGCATTGGTTGCTTGCTGTGGGCGTGGGGCACTCCTTTCATCGGCGGTTGGTCGCGCCGCACAGCCACAAGACAAGTTTTCAGGTTCCTTCGAGCGCCGTGCTCGACAAATGGTCAGCCGTGCCCTGTCGGAGCCCATATTCGTTTGCATGGCGGCAAATCGTGGCGGACGGGCAGGAGAGGTATGGGGTGGGGGTCGGTCTCACTTCCGTGCAAGGCCTCGTCAGACGTCTGTTTGTCATGGCCTCGATCATCATCAGCATCCTCATCACCACCATCATCACTGGATTACCATCCGCATCGTAACCACCACCATCAGCATCATCACTATCACCACCATCATCGGTGTCATCCTCCTCTGCTTTCCTTCTTCCCATGCGTCCGATGCATCAGCGATGCATCGGCGATGCGGCGTGATCGGCTGACCCCATCCACTCGAGGCCCACTTGGGCGGCCTCCCAGAAACGTGGTGGGGAGTTGAGTTGCGCTTTTTCGGTGCCGTTGCGACAAGCTTTGCTGTTGAGCATTGGAATGGTACAGTCGTATACAGGCCCCTCCACCGTACCAGCGCAGTATCGGAATTGACTATTGTACCGAGCACTCCAGAGCAGTCTTGTAGACCAAAGTTCGCCGTTTAGGAAGCATCGCTACGACGTTGTAGCGTGGCATCACGGCAGTAACGTTGTATGGTTGGTGCGTGGTCTTTTGGGGGTTCTTCGACGCTTCTTGGACACTTTCTTAGGCCTCGCTGGGGCTTCTGGATGGCCTCTTTTGCCCGTCTTGGGCGCAAGTTTGCTTCCAAGCCATCCCGAACAGGCTTGCCGGAACCAGTTCGGGACTGGCTAGTGGGTCCAGATTGGAGCCCTCCTGGGGCCATCCTGGGAGGGCCTCTGGCCAGCTCGGGACTCTCCTGGGGCCGTCTTCGGGGTTCCTTGGGGCCCTGTGGGGGCCGTGCTGGGGCTCTCCGATTTGTTTCCGAGGCCATCTCAGGCGGAGAAGGTAGGACACCTAAACTTAATGGGTCCTGATGTCTTCGTCGTTTTCGGGCTCCCAGTGCCCTCCCAGGGCCCCGGGCGTGTCAAAGGACAACTCCGGAGCAACAGCGGGTCCTTTTGGACCTGTTTCCCTCAGCATCCGTTTCCTTCATGCCGAGTGTCGTTTGTGTGTCTGCGTCGAGGTGGGACCCGAAGCGTCGAGCAGCGACAGCCAGAGTGCAGCAGATCTGATTGCGCGCCAGGTCGAAAAACAGGAGAGCGGCGGCGGAGGAAGACAAAGGAAGCAGCCGCGCTCAGAGTGCGTATATAGCACTTCGCGCCTGGTGCCGACGGCCTCAGGCTCCGAACGGCATCGTCATGAATTTAGGTAATCCGTGCGGGCGTGGAGATAATCGCGCTTCGCATATGGCGGTCTGCGCCAGAGCGGCTAAGGAGGCGGAGCGGGGGTGCGAGGGCGCGAAGCTAACCGTTTGGGGGCGATGTCAAGTGACCTAGACGAATGGGCCAAGGTGTGCTTCATCGCCATTTGTTACCCCTGGCTGCGCATTTTAGACATGGCTGTTTTTGAGATATTCATTACGTCCCCTCTTGCGCAGGGCACCGTGACTGGGAGCCGACACAATTGCCAGGCATCCCTGGGAGGGGGTATCAGCACGCGGTATGCCCCGCTGGACCCGGGCGCCGTTGGCTTGCGCGTTGTCCCTGGCTGTTCGTCGCAGAACGACGGAGGGGGCGTTCCTGTCTCATCTGGGCAGGGAGGGGGTGCAATATAAAGCTTGCCTTGCGCAGCGCGCCACGTTCATCCTCCCAGTGCAGAGAGAGAGAGAGAAAGCGTGCGTCTCGCGCAATGCTGTCCTATCCGTAATGCATACAATGGCTGTTCGATGATGTTTGGTTGAGACCTAGTTCCACCCGAGGTCACATCGTCATCGCCTGTCGACGTCGTACTTATACAATCAACCCAACTATGTTGGCATGCCTCCCATACAGCACAGACCGCGGCCGCTGTGGACCTTTCGTAATACTCCATACGTCTGCCCTCTCTCTGTCTCATTTCCATGTTTTTCCCTATTTCTCCTTTTCGTTGTTTCTCTCTCTGTCTCTATCTTTTTTTCTTTTTCTCTCTCTCTGTCTCTCTCTCTCTCTCTCTCCCTCGTTATTCTCTCAATCCTCGCTATCTCTTTCTCTTTCGTTCTCTCTCTCTCTTCCTCTTTTCTCTCGTCGCTCGTTCGCTTTTGTTTTCTCTCTCTCTCTCTGTCTCTGCCTCCCGATGTACCTATAATGTGAACAAATACGCTCTCCCCCCACCCCCCCGAGGGCGTCCCCCACCTCGATGACATGTTGGGCAAATCCTCGGCAGCGCCCTCGTGGGCTCCCCGGGAGCCCCAGGTAGGCTTCGGGGCTGCCCCGGACGGCTCCGAGACGCACCACAAGCGCCCAACATGTCCGTTGATCGCATTGCGAAATTGGGCACGCGCAGTCACAGCGTCTGACTCGGTCGTGTCGAGAAGCCTCTTCAGGCAGTCTCGTCAGCGCCTGCGCGCGCCGTGGCTCCGGAGGGTCCTCGCCGCGCGCCCCTCTGCACCACGGCGGCCCAAGCCACCAGGCAGAGGCCGCCAAAAGGCAGCTTGAAGGCAAAGGCCGCCAAAAGGCAGCTTGACCCGACAGCAACTTTGTCCCGGAAGGAAGCCTGCATCGGCGCCTTCCAGAGCAGGCGACCGAGCAGTCGCTGCAGACAGCGAATTCGCTCACTGGCTTCTCCCCGATCTCGATTCCATATACCAGCACCACGGTTCCGAGCAACGCAGGCCCAGGAGCGAGTGAATGAGTGCGAAGAATACCAGGTCCGCTACTCCATGTTGCACTGCGCCCTCACGCGCAACAAGGCCTTAGAACGTTACCCACCAGGAGTCAACGGCCGACGCCCTGCCCACCAGGGCAAAGGTACAGCCCTTTTCATCAGCTCTGATGTACAAAAAAGGCGTCGTCGTCACTGCCGTGCCCGTCAGAGAGGGCGACGGGATGTCGTACACCAGCTGAGTTTCATGTCGCACGCAAGGAAGAACCTCCAACTCTTGCCGCACTGCGACCCATCAACGACGAGTACCAAGGAACAGGGTTCCAAATACCAGTCTTCCGCCGCGTGGCCAAAGCTACCAAGCCGACGACAAGGTATGTTCAATAGGACCATCTACCAGCTAGGATGGGAAGACGTTCAGTGAGTCCATAACGAGGTCCGTATCACCCTCAACCCAGCGGACAACGTCGCCTGGATCCGCGCAGCTATCTGCGAGACAGACGCCATTGCCGTCACACCCGCGTTTGGCGACTTGGTCACGGCCCAGCTCCCTGGAACAGCCCTCATCAACGACGTCCATTGTCAAGGCGGATCTGGCACGGCCCAACAAAGGTCAAAGACCGCCACGAATCAGCCAAACGGCATCGCCGTCGGAAGGCGTCTTGGGGGTATCTTGGGGCCCTCGTGGGGTGTTTCAGGGCTGGAGGCCATCTTGTGCGCATGGGTCGTTGTGGGGGCCGTTGGGAGCTGTGGGGGCCTCTTGGGCCGTCCTGGGGCCACCTTGGAGACCCCTTGTGCGATTTGGGTGCAATCGTGGGAGCCTCTCGGGCTGTCACGGGCCGTCGAAAAAAAATGCAAATGTGCAAATGCCAACGTCCTTCAAAAACCGAAAGACAATACATTATGTTTGCCTCTTCGGACCCTCCTGGAGGACGTCTTGGAGGCTTCTTAGGCCGTCTTGGATGCCTCTTGGGGGTCTTTGAGGCCGTCCTGAGCCGTCTTGGAGGCTTCTTGGGCGAATTTTGACTATCTTGGGCCGTCTTGGAGGCCACCTGGGACCGTCTTGGCCGAACCTTGAGGCCACCTTGGCCGTCCTGGAGGCCATCCTGTGGCGTCTTGGGGGCCCTCCGGCGCAGAAAAGTTCTTGCTAGCCACCCCGCCGAGAGCTCTCCGGGCAGCCGGCGAAAGGAGCCCAAGACCCAGGGCAAGCCTTTTCAAAAACCCAAATCCCAGCAGATCCGCCAGAACTTGCTGCACGCCCCAGGAGAGGAGGAGGAGGAGGAGGAGAAGGCGGAGGCGGAGGAGGAGGAGGAGGAGGAGGAGGAGGAGGAGAGGAGGAGGAGGAGGAGTGGAGGAGGAGGGGGGGAGGAGGAGGAGAAGGAGGAAAAAGAGGAGGAGGTGGACGGGGAGGAGAAGAGGAGAAAGAGAGGAGGAGGAAGGAGGAGAGGAGGAGGAGGAGGAGGCGGAGGAGGCGGAGGAGGCTCAGGAACGATCAGGGCGGAAGATTAGCAGGCTGATCTCTCAAAAAATCGGGTGGTCGTTTTCTTATTCATTGTTGTGCCGGTCGGCGCGGGCCCTCGCCCCCCCCCCCCCCCGTAGATTAGATCTTAGTTGTTTTTGGCGCATGTCTCGAGCAGGTGGGGTCCCCCCCACAGGACGCGCTGTGCCAAATAGTGGCATCAAGCAGAGATCAGGAGCCAGACCTCCCCAAGACGCCGAAGAAGCAAACGTTCACTGGGTACCACTCCGATGAATCAACAGGGGTCGGCAGACATACAGTCGGCCCAGATTAGTAGGTCGTCCCTGCCAAATCAAGGCCCAGTCGAGTCCGACTGTAATTGCATGTGGCCCATCCCTTCATCGTGCCTGGCTTGTGGGTCGCGGGCCTTCTCCTCATTCGTATTGGACGGCTGTTGCCTCTTGTGGCCCCCTCAGCCGTCTTCAGGACAGCTTGGACCGTATCGGGGGGGCCTCTGAGGACCCTATTGGCCTGCCTTGGGCGTCTTGTTGATTCCGAAAAAAGTCAAGCGGAAATGCGCTGGCTGGGGGAGCCACTTGGGTCACGCCTGGAGCCACAGAGGTTTCGGCAATTCTTGGTCCCGACCCCTCAAAAAAGTCCTCAGGCTTAAAGACGGAGGTTTAACACATTGAACAAATATCGGATGACACTCTAGTTCGTGCCTCAGGTCATGGTGGCGGTTCTGTATGTACAGCTGTGTGTATATATATATATATATATATATGTATGCATGCGCATGTTCACACGTTCGCGTACATTAATATCGATATTTCTAGATGTCGTTGTGTCTCTCTTTCTCTATCTCTCTCTCTCTCTCTCTCCCTCCCTGTCTCTGAACATATACGGCCATAGTGGTCCATGCCTATGCTCGTGCACCAGCTTCTATACCATCCAAGCTTGAGCACAGCATTCCTGTTCTCAACCATCCTGTGGTGTTGTGTCCTCGTTTTAAGGCGGCCCCGCGCCAGATTCGGCACACCTTTTCACACGCCTTGTGGCCTCATAGGGAGCTTCACCAGAAGCCCCAGCGGCAGGGTCCGCATGGCCAGGGTCCGCCCAGCGGCCCCGCGCACAGGTTGGCACACCCCTCACTCTCCATGGCCCCACGGGAGCTCCACCGAAGGCCCAACGGCAGGGTCCACACAGCGGCCCCGCATCCACACCCTTCACACGCTTCGCGGCCCCATAGGGAGCTCCACCGAAGGCCCCAGCGGCAGGGTCCGCATGGCGGCCCCGCACCCCATTCGGCACACCCTTCACACGTTTCGTGGCCCCATAGGGATTTTCACCGAAGGCCCAAGCGGCAGGGTTCACATGGCTGCCACCCGCGCCCCTTCCGCTTCGTGGTCCCATGGAGCTCCACCGAAGGCCTCCACGGCAGGGTCCGCACACAATTTGGCACACCACTCACATGGTTCGTGGCCCCATCCCCGCGCATATTTCGGCACACCCTCCACAGGCTTCGCGGCACCACAGGGAGCCCCACCGAGGGCCCAACGGCAGGGTCCGCATGGCGGCCCCGTGCCCCATTCGGCACACCCTTTCACACGCCTTGTGGCCTCATAGGGAGCTTCACCAGAAGCCCCAGCGGCAGGGTCCGCACGGCGGCCCGCAATCGATTTCGACACACCCACACATTTCGCGGCACCATAAGGGGCTCCACGGAAGGCCCCAGCGGCAGGGTGCGCATAGTTGTTTTGCGATTATTTCCGTACACTTTTCATACGTTTCGTGGCCCCATCAGGGGCTCCACCGAAGGCCCCAGCGGCAGGGTGCGCATGGTTGCTGTGCGCCTATTTCGGCACACCCCTCACACGTTTCGTGGCCCCATCAGGAGCTCCACCGAAGGCCCCAGCGGCAGGGTCTGCATGGCGGTCCCGCACCACATTCGGCACACCCCTAACACGCTTCGTGGCCCCATGAGGAGATCCACCAACGGCCCAAGCGGCAGGATCTGCATGGCGGTCCCGCACCAATTTCGGCACACCCTTCACACGCTTCGTGGCCCCATCAGAAGCTCAACCGAAGGCACCCCTCACATGTTTCGTGGCCCCATCGGGAGCCCCACCGAAGGCCCAAGCGGCAGGGTCTGCATGGCGGTCCCGCACCAAATTCGGCACACCCCTCCCACGTATCGTGGCCCCATCAGGAGCTCCACCGAAGGCCCAAGCGGCAGGATCTGCATGGCGGTCCCGCACCACATGCGGCACACTCCTCCCACGGTTCGTGGCTCCATCAGGAGCTCCACCGAAGGCCCAAGCGGCAGGGTCTACATGGCGGTCCCGCACCAAATGCGGCACACCCCTCACACGTTGCGTGGCCCCATCAGAGCTCCACCGAAGGCCCAAGCGGCAGGGTCTGCATGGCGGTCCCGCACCAAATGCGGCACACCCCTCCCACGGTTCGTGGCCCCATCAGGAGCTCCACCGGAGGCCCAAGCGGCAGGGTCTGCATGGCGGTCCCGCACCGAATTCGGCACACCCCTCACACGCTGCGTAGCCCCAGGGTGAGCCCCACCGAAGGCCCAAGATGCAGGGTCTGCATGGCGGTCCCGCACCAAATGCGGCACACCCCTCACACGTTTCGTGGCCCCATCGGGAGCTCCACCGAAGGCCCAAGCGGCAGGATCTGCATGGCGGTCCCGCACCAAATTCGGCACACCCTTGCCACGTATCGTGGCTCCATCAGGAGCTCCACCGAAGGGCCAAGCGGCAGGGTCTGCATGGCGGTCCCGCACCACATGCGGCACACCCCTCCCACGGTTCGTGGCCCCATCAGGAGCTCCACCGAAGGCCCAAGCGGCAGGGTCTGCATGGCGGTCCCGCACCAAATGCGGCACACCCCTCACGTGTCGTGGCCCCACAAAGAGCTCCCCCGAAGGCCCAAGCGGCAGGGTCGGCATTGCGGCCCCGCGCCAATCTTGGCACACCTCTCATACGCTCCGTTTCCCCATCGGGACTTGCCCCTCTTTCATCGCACTTGCCTTGCGGCACTCGCACCCACGTATGGTTGGGTCCTTCGCCCAGAGATTGTTGTGTTCCTCTTGTGATGGTGGTGAGCAGGAGATGCAGCGAAGAGAGAAGGAGGGAGAGAGGGAGAATCGCTTACGAGGATGATAATGGCGTGAGGAGTCTATGCGGCCCAGGTTGCTGGCGCGCTACGATGGATGTTCGTGCAGCACGTGACCTTTTTTGTGAATTCGGTCGCACACGGGCCGCGGGACCGCCTTTCCGACCAGCTCGCTTGGTCTTCGGTCAGCTAAGCTCGCGGGAATGAATAATCAAGACAGCTCGCCTGCCCTGCGCACTCCTCTTCTATCTTTTCCCTCCTCTGTCTCTCTCTCTCTCTCTCTCCCCCCCCTGACTTCCTTCCATCCTCTCTCCATAAATATGAAGGGCATGTGGAGCATGTGAGGCGCTAAACTGGAAAGCTGATGCTGAGCGATCCCCGTGGCCGCGGGCGAGGCAGAACCAGAAAATACGGTGCATCGCGGGAGAGCGGTGGTGTGGGCAGAGGGTGGAGTTGGGGAATGGAGTAATCCGGAATCGCGTGCGGGATTACCCTATCTATCGATGCTGTATAGTTCCGTGGTTTGGCTTCTGGCGTGCCTGCCAGGAGTTCCGATTACGATTTGGGAAATGCCCATATGCAGGACCTGACGGGACCGCTGGTCGGCAACCGAGGGTCCATCAGAACAGCGACATGGTCTCATGCATCTCGGGTTGGAGCGCATCTAAGCAGCATCTCTTCATCGCGACGCGTGCATGCCGCAGCCCGATGTTTCGACACGCGTGCGCTCCAGGCCGAAGTCAGCGCTCTGACGAGCGTGAACGCCTGGAAGTCTGATGTCGGCTTGAGGCTCGGACCCCACAGCTCTCGCGCCCAACCCGGGGGGATGCGCACGGAGGGGGTGGAGCGTGGGGTGCGTCTGTCTACGGGTCGTGCCAAGCAGCGTGTGGCCTCTTCCCCGGCCGGCAGGCGCCCTGCCAGGCCTCTTGGATGTTTCCAGGTCTCCCAGGCGGGGGTCCAGCAGATGGGGTCGGAGGGTCGCGCCGCATCGCCGCTCCATGGGGAGCCCGATGTTCTCCACGCCCACTGCGCCGATGCATCGCCGACGTTGCCGATGCATCGCGGATGCATCGGCGATGCATCGGCGATGCGGCGCAATCTTCCGACCCCATTTAGGAGGCCTCTACTAAATCCTGACTGCGGCCTAGCGGCTTCGCCTTCGGCGGAGAGCGTCCAGGTCAGAGGCAATTTGTCGCCATACACTCTTACTCTGAGATCCGACGTCGCGAAGAAATTACAACACCCTGAAACATCACGACCAGGTTCGTAGACCCCTTCTGTCTGCGCCATTTTTTCAGCCGGATCGATCAATCTGTGAGGCTTTCGGGGCCCGGAACGAGGCAAGATCGCCAGGTGGGAGTGAAAATTGCATCGCCCAGATCAGCGAGTACAGGGGGGCTTCCAAGGAGGGATCGGAGACCAACAGGGGGCGGGAGGGCGATGAGGAGGACAGGGCAGCCCGGGCGCAACTACCACAGGACGGCGCGGACGACGTCTACAACTTCGACGCCGGCGCGCACGACGTGGGGCCCCGCGTGAGTATTCTCACGACGATACTGGCCGCGAGGGAGGGTCATCATCGAGACAAGGGGCCTTGGAAAGGGCTCCTGAGCTTCTGCCAGCCGTCCTGTGGTGTTGGGTCTTCGTTTTGAATCAGCAGCGGCCCGCGTCTCCTCCTGACTTCTCCCCTCCTCCCCCGCGTCCGTTTCATCAGCATCACCGTCATTTTTTCCAGTATCATCATCATCATCATCATCATCATCATCATCATCATCATCATCATCATCATCATCATCATCATCATCATCATCCTCATCATAATGATAAGCAACATCAGCATCATCATCCTCTTCATCATCCTCTTCATCATCATCCTCACCATCATGTTCACCGCCATCATCATCATCATCATCATCATCATCATCATCATCATCATCAGCATCATCATCAGCATCATCACCATAATCATCATCATCGCCGCCCTCGGCTGCTAGCCCGCCGCCGGCGCCGCGCGCAGTTTGCGACTCGACCTCGGCCACCCGGAGGCGTCCGGATCATCATCACCATCACCATCACCATCATCAGCATCATCAGCATAATCGAGAACGCCGGCGGCGCATCACCGGCCGCTCCCTGGGAGTTTACCGAAGTGGTCCACAGCATCGAAAGTCGTGACGCGTGGGTTTCGGGTCGGAGTCCTCATGGACGCTTCTTGGGGTCTCGCGAAAGGGCTCTCGGGGGCTTTCGCGGGGGAGTTTCGGGACCTCTTGGGGGCCTCTTGGAGGTTTTGTGGGAGCCTCTTGGGGCCCTCTTGGGGCCTCTTGAGGCTCCCTTGGGGCCTCTTGGGGGCCTCCAGGGGGCCTCTGGGGGCCTCTTGGGACCGAAAGCTCGAGATGTTCATTCGAGTTCCCTTTCTGGGTGCCTTTTTGGGGACGTCCTGGGGCCCCTCTTGGGCCGTCCCGGGGGCCTCGTGGGCCGTCTTGGGGCCTTTTTGGACTGTCTTGGAGCTCTCTTAGGGGCTTGCTGGGCCGTATTGGGACGATCTCGGGGGCCTCTTGGGCCGTCTTAGAGCATCGCCAAGCCGAAATGACGAGAACGTGAAAATAATTTCAAAACCATCGACAAATCAAGGATTTTTGTCTCTTGGGGCTCTCTCGGGGGTGCTCTTGCAGGCCTTTTGGGGCGTCTCGGAGGCGTCTTGCTCCGTCTGGAGGCCATCTTGGGCGTCTTGGACCGATCTGGAACCGTCTGGAGGCTCTCTTGGACCGTCTAGGGGCTCTCTTGGACCGGCTTGGGGCGCCCTTGGGTCGCCCCCGGGCCGTTTGAGACCTTGAGGGGGGGGGGCCGGCGGCAGAGTGGGGCCCCCTCGGAGGGACTTTCAGGAGGTTTTTGACCAGGCACTGGAGAAGGGGGCCAAAGACTGTGCCAGACACTGTGTCAGAGAGGTCTCGCACGGCCCAACCCGCCGGGCGGGAGCGGCCGGATTATCGTAAGGCTGCCGCCTCTGCCGCCGACCCCAGAGAAGGATTTGCCGCCCATTGGGTGTGTAGGCATGTTTGGGGCGCTGTGGTTCCGCTGCTGGTTCTGACAACATGCAGCGCAGACGGTGAGCTACTTTGAACGCCGCTAAAAAGGCCCGCATACATAGAGGACCCAGGATGCGGAGGGTGTCAAACGTGGTGGTGGAGGGGGTGGGGTGGTCTCGGCAATTATTTGTGTATTGTGGGGCTTCGAAAGTTGAGAACACACATAGGGTCCAGGAGGCTGTGTGTGTTAAACGTGATGGGCGAGGGCCCTGGCGCGTGTTTTTGTAGGGTGGGGTGCTGGTGGTGGTGGTAATGGTGGGTGAGGGGGGGAGGGGGTCCTTGAAGACGCACACACACAGGGTCCAGGAGGCTGGTGATCTCAGACTTGGTGGTGGTTTTGGGGAAGGGGGGGGCGTCCTGGAAATAGCGCACACAGGAGGTCCAGAAGAGTGGCGATGTCAGACGTGGTGGGGGGCCTCAAAAACAGCACACAAAGAGCGTCCAGGAGGGTGGGGATGTCAGACGTGGTGGTGGCGCGGTGGAGGCGCGGTGGAGGTCCCGGCGCCTGTTGGTGTAGGGACACAAAAGAGCGTCCAGGAGGGTGGGGATGTGAGATGTGGTGGGGGCGCGGTAGGGTCTCGGCGCCTGTTTGTGTAGGGTGGGGGGCCTCTAAAACGGCACACAGGGGATCGGTGGGTTTCAAGTGAAGAATTGTCGAGTGGGGGGGGGCCCAACAACTGAGTTCTCGTGGGTTGGGGATGCTGGGGCATGGTGGGAGGTATCGGTGGGTTTCAGGCGGGGACTTGCCGAGAGGGGGGGCCCAAGAACTGAGTTCTCGTGGGGTGCGGATGCGGTGGCATGGTGGGGGGTATCCGTGTGTTTCAGGCCAGGAATTGTCGTGTGGAATGGCCCACGAACTGAGTTCTCGTGGGGTGGGGGTGCCGGGGCATGGTGGGGTTTATCGGTACATAGGTTTCAGGCCAGAAATTACTGACTGGGGGAGCCCAAGAACGACCTTCCTGTGGATGGCATCGGTGTGTATCAGGCCAGGAACTGTCGAGTGATTGTCGAGCGTGGGTGTCCAAGAATTGAGTTCTCGCGGGGTGGAGTTGCCGGGGCATGGTGGGGGGCATCGGTGGGCTTCAGGCCAGGAATTGTCGAATGGGGGGGCCCAAGAACTGAGTTCTCGTGGGGTGGACATGCCGGGGCATGGTAGAGGGTATCGGTGGGTTTCAGGCTAGGAATTGTCGCGTGGGGGGACCCAAGAACTGAGTTCTCGTGGGGTGGGCATGCCGGGGCATGGTGGATGCCGGGGCATGGGGCGCGGAAGTGGTGGCAGGTGGATAGTGGAATCGCACACGCCTTTGGGGTCGGCGGATCAGCATTAGTATCATCATCGTCGTCATCAGCTTTTTATCATCAGCACCATCATCATCAGCAACATCAACCCCATTATGGTCATCAGCTTCAGCATCATCATCTACACCATCAGCATCATCATTAGCAGTGGTATCATTATCGTCGCCGTCATTATCATCATCATCAGCATCATCATAATCATCAGCATCAGCATCACCACCGTCACCATCAGCATCAGCATCACCATCACCATCATTAGCACCATCATCACCATCATCGTCATCATCGTCACCACCATCATCATCATCGTCATCATCATCCTCATCATCCTCATCATCGTTACCACCATCATCCTCCGAATCATCGTTTCGCCACACCCCTCACATGGGTCGCGGTCCCACAGGGGGCTGTATCGCAGGCCCCAGTGCCAGCGGCCACATGCTGTACCCCCTCCAATTCCGCACACCTCTTGCACGCTTCGTGGTACCATGGGAAGCTTCACCGAAGGTCCCAGTGGCAGCGACCGCATGTAGTACCCCGCGATAGGGAGCGCCACCGAAGGCCCCAGTGGCAGCGGCCGTATGCGGTACCCTGCAATTTCGCACACCCTTAAACGTTTCCTCACCTGGTTGCGCCAAAGTACTCGATCAGTGCCTATGCGCTGCCCGCACGGCTTTCTTCTTCTTTCAGAGAGAGCGCCAACGAAGCCTATTTTGGCTGCGGCCACATGCGGCCACTGCCCTTCTGCACAATCCTTTCTGTGGCGCCACGTTCGCTCCTCGCAGTCTGCTCTTACCCCTCCCTCGCCTCGTCCTCCTTGCGGCACTGGCAGCTGCATGATCGTGCCTGGGTTCGCCGCCAGGGTGATCTTCGCCGGGCCTTCCCTCGGGGCTCGGGGTGGGCAAACGAGCCTGCGGGAAGCCTGCAGGACACGTCTCCCTCAGGATCTGGCGCCCTCCAGCCAGCACGGGGCCGACCGGCGGCGAGGAGGCACGGAGGGCGGGGCGTGGCCCCATCTGCCCCGCCCTGACGGGGCACGCGCTGCGTCGCCAGCGGAGGCCCACGTGTCGGCATGGGGTCGCCCATTCCAGGGCGACGCCCCAGCCGGTTTCCCATCTCTTGTCGCTTCCCTTCGTATCCTCGCCTCTCCTTCTCCCGGCCCATCCTTCTCTGCTCCTCCCCTCCTTCCTCTCCCTTTCTCTCCCCTGCCTCCTGCCCCCCCATCCCCTCAGCCGCAGGCTCCCCCTCCCCCTCTGCACGCCTCGACTGAGGCTGCTCCAGGGTGCGCTTGCTCGTAGGCTCCAGGGGGCAGGGGAGGCGCTCGGCGAGGGCTGGCACGACTACCACCACATGTTCCCCTGGGACTACGCGGCCGCCGAGCTCGGCTCGCTGGACCAGTGGAACCCCACGAAGGTGTTCATCGACCTCTGCTGGACCGCGGCGCTCCGCGGGAGCACGGCGGGCGTCCGAGGGGGGGCGAGGGAGGGATCGGTGGGAGGGGCGCTGAGGCTCCTCCTCCTCCTCCTCCTCCTCCTTCTCCTCCTCCTCCTCCTCCTCCTCCTCCTCCTCCTTCTCCTCCTCCTCCTCCTTCTCCTCCTCCTCCTTCTCCTTTTCCTCCTTTTCCTCCTTTTCCTCCTCCTCCTCAGATCGTTCCAGGGCGTGTTCTGGAATGCTCTGGAAAGGCCGCGGCGCATCCTGGAGACGCGTCAGGTCTCAGAGGTATCCGAGGTATCCTCGTCCGCAATGTATCGTTGTCTCGATTAGCTTGGCCTTCGTCGTCGATGAGTGCAGGGTTCTGTCTGGACGGATTGTGCAACCCAGGGGGGGCGTCGAAACGCAATGGGTAAGGACTGTCGGTTTAATGTGTCTGATTCGAAGTTTTTGTTCCTGAGATTGGCAGGATTCGCTCGAAGTAATTTGATTCGATTCGTGTGCATGTGTTGGCCGCTACGTAGACCGTGATACGGTAAGGCAAAGAGACCCAGTGCTCGTATGGTTCCCATCTCGAGTATTCCTTACTTCTCCTTCCCGCAGTCGTGAAGTGACAAGCGCACATGAAGTGAGACGTCGCCGTTTACCCTCATACTTACCACCTGTCTTGCGGCCACGCTCTCCCACGCGCAAGAGATGGCAGAAATGACTGCTTGCGACCGGCAGCGACCCCGCCGCAAGCGTTCAACGTTGAACGCCGCCGGCAACCCAGAATCAGTCGATGTTGAACGATCTGAGGTTTCGGAAACGGCCAATTTTTCAAGGTTGAACGATCCCCCTGGTGTCAGAAACCAGCGCCGAAGTCACGAAACGAACCTGCCATAATATTCGCGTGGGTGCAGCGGAGGCTGGAGGCGGAGGGGGGAGCAGGGTTGGTGCGTGCTGTTCTCATCCAATGTATTGTTTTGCGTATCGTCATGCTCCCCGTCCTCGTCCTGCCCGTGCTTTATCCTCATGGATGGTTCTGTTTGCTCCTACCTTTCTTTCTCCCTGGTCGCCTCCTGGTCCTCCACCTCCCCCATACTCCTTCTTTCTCACTCCCCCCCAGGCTCCCTCATAGTCGAAGTAACAGTTTGAGTTGAACGTCGCCCCGCTTGTACGAAAACTGGAATGTCGCCCCGCTGCTGCTTCGGAACTCCTGTGTGTTTGCAATGCCGCTTCAAGACATGTGTTATGCAGTGTGGTGCGTTCTCCACGTCGTCTGCCGAACAATATGGTTTCCTTAGCAAAGACGCCTACGGCGAATCACCGCCGCCCCCTGCTTTTTGGGAGGCTCCTCGGTGGCTAAACGTTGGACCCCAGCTTGACCAGTAGAAAAATCTAAGGGGCTTGTGCAGGGGTGGAATGGGGCTCTCGTGGTGCCTGCGTGGGGCTTGCGCGGAGCTAGGACAAGCACTTCGGCAAGTTGTTCCCCGAGCTGTTGTTGAAACCTTTCGGGAAACACGTGGGCCAAACAGAAGAAGAACAAACAATGATGATGAAGCAGGATAATAACAACAAGAAGACTCATAATACTTATCCGTAAGGGCTTCGCCCCCTGCCGCCGGCCCCCTCTCTCGGAGAATGGGCCATGGAAGAGCTAAGTCATGAGGCCTTGGCGCTGTCGTGAAGCAGTATCGAAACTTCATGCGAAGCCGATTCGCAATCAGCAAAACCAACTGATCACAAGAGGGGTTACCACACCTGGCGATTGGTAAGACGTGTATGGTTTACGGGCTTGGTTACCACACCTTGCGATTAAAGGGCCGAGGGAGTTCTCGCAGTTTGGGTTACCACGCCTTGCGATGGATGTGCGTGAAGGGTGGCACCATGTTTTTGGACCCTGACCCCGCGGATCTGCGTAAGGGGTGGCGCCGAATTTCAGAAATGTGCCAAATCCCATGTGTTTTTGGACCCTGACCCCGCGGATCTGCGTGAGGGGTGGCACCGAATTTCAGAAATGTGGCAAATCCCCTGTGTTTTTGGACCCTGACCCCGCGGATCTGCGTGAGGGGTGGCACCGAATTTCAGAAATGTGGCAAATCCCTTGTGTTTTTGGACCCTGACCCCGCGGATCTGCGTGAGGGGTGTCGATTTCGAGCCCCCCCAGCAATTCAGACAACGCGCCCAGGAGACGCTACAAATCTGGTTTGGGCCTCCCCCCCCTCGCGCGGTCAATCAACTAGTTACTGTAACCAGCAAGAAGCACAACTGTAACACTGGAAACTACAAGCTACAACTGGTACAGGAAACTGCGAACCTCGCGCCTACAGCCTGGTGGCCCCACAAGGGGGCCGGCGGATTCTGCTTATTCTGGCGAAGGACCCAACCATATGCAATTGCGGGCACCGCAGTTGTGAGCCCCGCCTTCGGTAGATCTCCCTGTGGGGCCACGAAACGTGTGAGGGGCGTGCCGAAATGGACGCCGCGGCGCCATGCAAACTTTGCCACTGTGGCCTTTGGTGGAGCTCCTTGTGGGGCCACGAAACGTGTGAGGGGTGTGCCGACATTTGCGCGGTGGCGCCACGCGAACTTTGGCGACATGGAAACCTTGCCACAGAGGGCCACGACACGTGTGAGGAATGTGTCGAAATGGGCGCGGTGGCGCCATGCGAACCCTGCCACGGGGGCCTTCTGTGGAGTACCCTATTGAGCCACGGAACGTGTGAGGGGTGTGCCGAAATGGGCGCGGTGGCGCCATGCGAACCTTGCCATTGGGGCCTTCGGTGGAGCCCCCTCAGGGGCCACGGAACGTGTGAGGGGTGTGCCGAAATTGATGCGGTGGCGCCATGCGAACTTTGCCACGGGGGCTTTCGGTGGAGCTCCTTGTGGGGCCACGGAACGTGTGAGGGGTGTGCCGGAATGGGTGCGGTGGCGCCATGCGAATTTTGCCACTTAGGGCCTTCGGTGGAGCTCCCTATTGAGTCACGGGACGTTTGAGAGGTGTGCCGAAATGGGGGTGTGCCGAATTGGACGCGGTGGCGCCATGCGAACCCTGCCACTGGGCTTTCGGGGAGCTCCCTATGTGGCCACGACACGTGTGAGTGGTATGCCAATGGGGCCTTCGGTGGAACCCCCTGTGGGGCCACGACACGTGTGAGGAATGTGCCGAAATGGGCGCGGTGGCGCCATGCGAACCTTGCCATTGGGGCCTTCGGTGGAGCTCCCTATGATGTCAAGAATCGTGTGAGGGGTGTGCCGAAATGGGCGCGGTGGCGCCATGCGAACCTTGCCATAGGGGCCTTCGGTGGAGCTCCCTACGGGGGTGTGCCGAAATTGATGCGGTGGCGCCATGCGAAGTTTGCCACGGGGGCCTTCGGTGGAGCTCCTTGTGGGGCCACGGAACATGTGAGAGGCGTGCTGCCGAAATGGGCGCGGTGGCGCCATGCGAACCTTGCCATTGAGGCCTTCATGTTGATGATGGTGGCGATGATGATGAGGACGATGACGATCATAGTGGGGATGATGCTGAGAGGCCGGATAGGGGGCAGCGGGAGTGAGGACGCGGGGCGCTGACTCTTCGAAGCGAGGACCCAACACCACAGGATGGCTGGGAAAACTAATCAGAACCAGAAGAGGAAGAAGAAGAAGCGAAGACCATGCGTTCCCCCAGCCATTGCGGAAGCTTTTCGGGGAACACGTGGGGGAGACGAGAAGGAAAAGGAGAGGGAGGAACAGGGAGGAGGATAACAATGAGGACATCATTTGACAGCATCTTGTGTCATCATGGGAGCTTCCTGGTAGTTCTGGGGGCAGTTTCGGGGCCTTGTGGGAGCGAGGGGGGGGAGGAGGAGGAGGAGGAGGAGGAGGAGGAGGAGGAGGAGGAGGAGGAGCTGGAGCTGGAGCTGGAGCTGGAGCTGGAGCTGGAGCTGGAGCTGGAGCTGGAGCTGGAGCTGGAGCTGGAGCTGGAGCTGGAGCTGGAGCTGGAGCTGGAGCTGGAGCTGGAGCTGGAGGATGAGGAGGAGGAGGCGGAGGAGGAGGAGAAGTATGGGGCATCATGGGAGCCTCTGGGTGCACTCTTGGAGCTTCCTGGAAGCCTCTTGGAGAAATATTTGGGGCCTCCTTGGGCCTCTTGGGAGCCTTTTGGGTCTTCTCGGGCGCTTCTTTGCCGTCTCAAAGCATGCCTGACCCGCCTGACGCCGTCGGACGCCGTCTTGGGGGCCTCTCTGGGCCGACTGAGCACCTATTGGGGTTGTCCAGGGCAGTCTTGGAGACCATCTTGGGCGGCTTGGAGACCTCTTGGGCAGTCTGGCGGCCCTCCTGGGGCCATCTTGGAGGTCTCTTGGGCGATCTTTCGGAGCTCTTCGGCCGCCTGGGGCCGTCGGACAGCAGAACCGAAACATATGCCAAAATCCGCCAAAGAATTTATAACATGGCTAAACTCCTTAAGCAATCCAAGGACTATCAATGATGGTGGCTTCGGGCCTTCCTGGAGGCCCTCTTGGAGGCCTCTTGGGCCGTCTTGGAATCCTCTTGGGGGCCTCTTGGGCAGTCTTGTGCCATCTTGGAGCCATTTTGGGCCGTCTTGGTGGGCTCTTGGCCCGTCTGACGCCGTCGTCGGAAGCCATCTTGGTGGACTCTCTGGGCCGACTTGATACCCTCTTGGGGTGCTCCAGGGCTGTCTTGGATGCCATGTTGGGCGTCTTGGAGGCCTCTTGGGCCGTCTTGGGGCCTCTCCGTTTTGGTGGCATATTGGGCCATTCTCGGGCCATCTTGGAGGCCTTTTGATAACCAATGATTTTGGCCTCGTCGGGCCCTCCTGGAGGATGTCTTGGGAGCGTCTTGGGAGCCTCTGGGCCGTCTTGGGCCATCTTGGATGTTTCTTGGGCGGGCCCGGATGCATCTTGAAGCCATCTTGGGCCGTCGTCGTGGTTTCTTCGCTGATTGGGAGGCAGCTTGGACCATCTTGGGTCATCCTGGAAGCCATCTTGGGCCAACGTGACAATCTCAGAAGCCATCTTGAGCCGTCTTGGGGAATTTGTTGCGGACGCTGAGGTCGTTTGCGGTCGTTTGCGATGTTTCCGGGTGGTTGGCGTGACGGGCTGAAGCGGCAGGGGGAGTTTTTGTTGGAATTATTTTGGCGACGGACCCAATGTTTGCGCAATGCGGGGCATAAGTACATCAGGGTTGCTACAACGGGGGCGATGACGTAACATGGAAGCATGTGATTTTTCGAGCAGCAATCGGAAGGTTCGCAGGCCCCCGATCAAGATATACGTAATAACAAATCCCCCCCGTTGGCTGTGCCATGCGCCCGTTGCACCCAACGTATCCCACAGCAGCTCTTGAGAGCC